AGCATTACTGATAGATATGTATAATTAAATGCATTGCTAATGAATATAGGAATGCAGTGAAAATCAGGGAAGAAAGGGATCAGTGAATGTCTGATAGAATAGGGCTAATGAATAATTAAATGCATTACTATAGATAGAATAGGAAGAAAGGGATTGTATGTATAATGCAAGCAAAAATGCTATTATATGTATAATGATTTTACTATAGGAATGCATTGAAAATCAGGAAGAAAGGGATTGTCAGTGGTCAGGATTGAATGAAGCATTACTGATAGAACTGATAGAATAGGACTATTATATGTTTAATTTAAATGCGTTGTTAATGATTTTACTCGATAAATGCACAGAAAATAAGGAAGTGAGATATTGTCAATGGTTAGGAATTTATAAAGTAAGCAATTACTGAAAGAATAAGTCTTTTATAATTATAATGTAAATATATTGTTCATAATTCTAAAAACATGGCATTAAAATATGACTAAAAAGTATTTTTCATAGCCAAACAGAGAGACATTACTAGCACACACACTGAGGTTATTATTGGTTTAATATTCTTTTTTCCCCGCTACACCTGGCAGAAAACACATATTCATAAATCCAGAGTGTCACGCTCGACCCTCTGTGTCGGTAGTTCCTCATTTTTCTTCCTATATGACATAACGTCAATTGTTATCTACTTAGTGGCTTTACTGCCTTGCATGGGGTGATATGATTAAAAAACAAGCCAAAAAGACTTTTCTAAGTATTTGTTGCCTTATAATAAAAGCAATGGAGAAAAGCGAATAACCTATTTAACGACTTTCTATGAATGGATAATAAAAGAAAGACAAAGAGTGATGGTGAAGGAGCTAAAGGTATTTAGACACAAAGAGGTAGATATAGATATCTAAGATCGTTCAAGCCAAGAAAAGACTTGACATTTAAAAGAAAAAAAAACTGAATTAATTATGGGTTAAAAAGTATGGTACTCTTTTATCTATATCCTTGCTTGGCAAGCAGTCTAGGAAAAAAATTTTTTTAACATTTAACTCTCTTCATCATTGATATTACTCCCACTTTTACTGTACATGGAATATTCTCAAAATGTAGTGTTTTATATATTCCACATATTTGAATTTGTAGTAACCTGGCTCTCAGTTTCAGTCAATTTTAAGTGTTGCCATAGGAGGATATGACTACACAACCAAGAAATTCAAATTCAACTTGCATTGGCAGGATAAACATTTTGCTTGACGAAAATTGTCACCTACAGAGTGCTAAAGGTTCCAATTCAAAACCGCAGAGAAGACAACGGGGAACAGTTCGGGTATATTTCCGAAGAATTCATAAGAGATAATAAAGAAAAGGAAACTGGGAAGAGCCACTAACTACGTCATGCATGAATATAGCATAAATATCAGGTTGAGTTATAAACAATTTTCTTTTTTGTCAACCAATTGTAATGAGGAACGTATCATCCAAACTAATCGATAAAATTAAGATATTCTTTACAGGTGAAGACGAACTTTGATAGTCAAAAACGGAATCCAGAGTCAAAAGTTCGTTGAAAAACTGCTGAACTTTACTCAAAATCTATCGACAAGTCATTGCAGAAAATGGCAAATATGTAATTAAATAAAAATGTAATTTACTTAATTCATTGTGGAATAAAGTTGATCGACTAAAAACGTAAATTAATTACGACTCAAACAAATAAAAACACGCTACTTAACAACAGTGACTGTTCTTATAAAGATTTGTAGGTCTGCATTTCATTGGTAGTCGTTTAATGGAATCGTTTAAAAAAACCGTTATACCCAACTCTCAAATTTATAAATAGCAAGCAACAGACCGAGTCTTGCTGGCGCTTGTTGAGCTCCAGTTGTCTTTGTACTCGCTCCAGTTGTTACCCGTTTCTACTTTAATGCAGATTCATTTCGATTTCTCAAGAAAGCAAATGACTAGCACGATAACGATATGTTAAAGTTAGAGGGAGAGAAAATATCAGCTGTCGGGTTTACGAATAAAACGTGGTTCAGAAACACACGCACATGTAAGTAATTAGCAATCGCTGTAACACAAAGCCGTTCTCCTTATTCCTTGCAGAAGATATGCAGGTGCAATGACTGAACAACATGGCGTCTGAGCGGGAATCGTGAACATAAGCGCCATTAGCCTCTTGATGAATTATCCGCATTATAAGCATTTACTTTTTTTTTCTCTGAACAGCACAAGTTAACGTGTTTATAAAATAAGTTCTAACTGTGGATTGAACCCGAAATATTTAGGCATCCTGTTATAGTCTCGAGCAACAACGAGTCTATCGTGAATTTCTTACGCACCAAATTAAAATTTAATCTTTTCCTAAGCTAAAGTTGATTTTTATGTCATTTATGAAGCGGTAAATAATTCGTTTGCTGATGAGGATTATAGAGAAATAAATCTAGTGCTTAATAATTTTGTTGTCACTACACCCCACCCAAAAAAAGAAACAAAACCGCCAAATCATATTGAGAACGTTAAAATGAAATTGGTAAAGAAATTTAACTCTCAGAAATTTAACTATACTTTGACAAAGGATACAGTTTGGTTTGTTTGTTTTACAGCATATCAACCTCAAAGGGTTATTTAATACTGACAAGATTTTTATTGCTGGTAATATTTTTTCACAAAGTATTTCTGGTAATATTTTTTACAAAACCCCCAAATCATTGGTTAATTTGCAGTGTAACACCCGCACCCAGTTTGCATTAAAAAATTCCAGAATACTTACATTGATATGTAGTTGTACATGCAGCAAATGTAAGAAAACAACGCCAGTAATGGCTGCCTGCGACGTGAATGAATCTGAACTTTTACTGTCGATAACTACAAAACAGTAGATTTTATCAAATTTATCGAATGGAGCATGTACAATTGCACATAAATGTAAGCATTCTGGAAAATTTGAATGCGAACTGATTGCGTGTATTACACTGCAAATTAACCAAATCATTAATTCAGAATAAATTGCTTTGATTTAAAACAGTAAAAATTACCGAGGAAGTATACAGTAGTAACGGTGTCAAGCGAAAAACCGTCCTTTTAACACACCGTTTTTGTTTCGGACGGGTTGTACGTATGTTAAACTTTAACCCCAAACCAATCTTCTAAAATGAAAGGTTCGATGGAAAAAATAATCTGGTAAGGCGATAAGGGATATAATTTAATTCACAAATTTAATCTGGTAATGACAGTAAAAGAAAGTAAGAAGAAAAGACTAACTATTAACTGAAAGAAGAAAGAATGCATAGTCGTCAGGAAAAGAAGCATCCCAACGTATGTGCTACAGATTGGGAACGTCAAAATGAAGCAGGTACAAAAAGTTAACTCTCAGAAATTTGCCTATACTTTGATAAAGGATACAGAGCTTGGTTTGTTTGTTTTACGGCATATCAACCTCAATGGGTCATTTAATGCTGACAAGATTTTTTATTGCTGGTAATATTTTTTCACAAAGTATTTCTGGTAATATTTTTTCCAAAAATGTATTGCTGGTAATTTTTTTTTCAAAAAAAGTATTGCAGGTAATGATGTATTGCTGGTAATAATTTCTTTTTGGAAAATTTATTGCTGGTAATAATTTTTTACAAAAAATATATGGCTGGTATTAAAACCTATTTTTACACGTTTTGATTCCAGTTTGGGGGTTAACTATTCGACCATGATTGGGACCCTAACAAGTGCTACCATCCCGGGTCAAGGTGGATCAAGGAACACCAGCAATTAAGAGGTGGTTCCACACTCCTCAAAACCTCCTGATCAGAGGACTTGCTGTTAGATGTAGTTTATCGTCTTACCCAGGACGCGGGTGTAGTTTATCGTCTTACCCAGGACGAAGGATAGAAAACAGTGACACAGAAATTTGAAGGTGCATCGAAAGATGAGGCTTTAGAAATTAGGCAAAGTTTAAAGGCTTGAAAAATTTCGTTAGAAAGAATAAGTGCTGAACTGTTATGGCATACCTATCCTCCTATATGACAATGAATGCTGGGTAATTTTCTGATAGACGAAGAAGAGGCTAATCTGGATAGAGATGTGGTTATACCAACGAATGTTAAGACTACCATGGACTGGACATGTGAAGAATGAGGAAGTCTGGTGGAAAATTTGAACTACAAAGAAACTTAAACATATACTCAGAAAGAGACAGAAGAAGATTTTGGGGAACATTACGAGGAAAGATGGCCAAGAGAATCTAGCACGCACAGGAGCTATTAAAAGCAAGAGAAGCAGGGGAGGGGGAAGAGCGAGTAGGCTATATAATGAATTTGTGTAAATAGAAGGGCTGAACAGAGACAAAGATGGATGGTCAAAAGTGACTTCGAGCAACAAACGGCTGGAAGTATAACAGATGAAAACAATGAAAAATAAGACAAATGATCGCTGAGTTGAAATTTCCACTTTATAATTTAAGTCCTATCTGAATCGATGCGTACATATATATAATGAGGGTAACGTTATTTGTTATTAGTACTGAGTAGACCTGGTTTGTCTAAGTATAAAAAAAAATATTTCTCTTGGCTAGTGGATTAAATAAATAGTATACTTTATTGATGGACCCTATAAATATTACACCAGCCTGATGAACGCTGTAAAAATTACCATTGGATCCTATAAATAGTACACTGGCTGATTCGCAGAATAAATATCACATTTGGTTTATAGACCCTATAAGTAATTATAGGTTGTTTGACACTATAAATATTACCATTGGCTGATGGATTATATAAATAGTATACATTGTTAATGGACTCTATAAATATTACACTAGTTTGATGAACTCTATAAAAATTACCCTAGTCTGATAGATCATATAAATATTACAATTGTCTGGTTGAGACTATAAATATCGCATTTGGTTTGTAGATCCTATAAATATTACAACGGACTGATTGACTCTATAAATATTTACCCTGGCTGATGGATTGTATAAATAGTATATTTTTTTTTATTAAGCATATTAATATTATTGTAGGCTGATGGACAATCTATCTATCTATCTATCTATCTATCTATCTATCTATCTATCTATCTATCTCACCAACGTGACATGGCTTCTCTCTGCCTTTTCTACAAATATATATTCTATAGCGGCCTGACGATTGCGTCCAGCATGAAACGGCCTGTCGCCTCTGAGTGTTGACTTCAATGTTCACTTTTATATTTATATTTCCATATGCTCTATCTCAGATATTGAGCACTTTATCCCATAAATATGGCACACCTTAAAACTATATTTCTTCACACACACACACACACACACACACACACACACACACACACACACACACACACACATATATATATATATATATATATATATATATATTATCCAAAGCTGAACGATTATATAGATAATATGATAGGCACAATAAATACTACCCTTGGCTGATGGATTCTATAAATAGTGTACTTTGTAGATGGACCATATAAATATTACACTAGTCTGATGAACCCTATAAATATTACCCTAGGCTTATGTATCCTATAAATAACGCACATAACTGATTGACATTGTAAATATCAAACTTAGCCGATAGACTCTATAAATATTACAAGGGGCTGATTGATCCTATAAATATTACACTACGCTGATAGAATATATATATATATATATATATATATATATATATATATATATATATATATATATATTATTCTAGGCTGATCGATTGTTTAAACAATATTCTTTTCTGATTGATCCTATAAATATTATCGTTGGTTCATGGAGTATCACTAGAAATATCACACGTGGTGTATATATATATATATATATATATATATATATATATATATATATATATATTTATAAAAATTAATTGAATTAAAAGTTTTTTCTGCTACACAGTTCTAACCATGTTTCAAAAATAGAAGCTAAAAGCCCCGAATTTATTTTTGAAATCTATTTTTGAAACATGGTTAGAACTGTGTAGCGGAAAAAACATATTTTAAATCAATTAATTTATAATATTACTGCTCTGTAAATTTACATTGAGCACTATTTTGTAAAAATATCTATAAGAACACCGGATTATATATCTTACTGTTCTTTCTTTATATATATATATATATATATATATATATATATATATATAGATAGATAGATAGATAGAGAGAGAGATAAGTAAAAGGAAGAGGTTATAGTAGTTTCAACGAGAGAAAAATGTGTATATTACAAAGAAGAGAGAAACCGCAAAGTTTTTTGGTTGTAATGTGGATTTTTAATAAAAAATATTATGCTTTATCTTCCATAATTTTGCTACATGAGTTTCTGGTATCGCGATCTTCATCAGGTAAAGAATGAAGATTTTCACATATTAAAAATAAATAATTTTTTCTCCTTTATGTTTTTTGATGTTAAATATTCTCGATATGAAACATTCTCTTTTTAGTGTGTTAGTAATCCGAATGTCTTTCTTGAACTTATATATATATATTGATTATAATAAATTGCAATAAAAATATTTTACATCGCTATACATAAACTTTCATGTTCAAATCTGACCTTATGCCCCCCCCCACTTTAACTTACGAAAAGAGGTAAAGATTTGTTTGTAAATTTCCATAATAAATCATTTTTATCACATGTTATCTACTATCGCCTGAAGAAGTACCATTTTAGTACTGAAACATGAACATTTTTGTGTCGCGATGTAAAAAGTTTTGCTGCAATTTATTATAATAAAAATATAATAATATTTTGCGCTACTTTGTATTGAGCACTTTTTAAAAAAAATTACGAACGCTGGATTCTTACTTCACCTGTTCTTTCTCTCATTTGTATGTATATATATATATATATATATATATATATATATATATATATATTTGTGTGTGTATACACACACACACATATATATATATATATATATATATATATATATATATATATATATATATATGAAAGAAAAATATACTGAAAAAAACAAACAAAAATCCTAATATGCGATTATGCTGTTTTAATGTTTAATGTCAACATCGGACGTTTCGGTCTAATAGACCATCTTCAGGACATATTCATAAAACATAATTAATATAGACCATATACAATTCAACATGAAAAAGACGATGGACATAAAGCAATATCAATCCAAACCGATAACTGAAATCTTTTATAAGATCAGCGTTCCGTTTAAATATGATCACGTCGTCACGTGGGCGATTTTGTGAAAACGTATTCCTAAATTTTGAGTATTTTGAATGAAAAACGAAAAGAATTTTATTTTGATCTAAAACTTATATGTACGTTTGTCGAGCATTAATCTTGCTAGAAAAGGGGAAATATTAAAGAAGCCAGGTCTAGTGTTCACCGTGCGTGAGATAGATATTATGCCTGCTTCATAAATCCACCTAAGATTTTTATTATGAAAATATTTTAAAATCTTCACGAAATCAAAATCGAAATTATGATCAGCTTTAGTTGTGTGTAGGCGAATATCTCGTTTATGTTCGAAAACATATATATATATATATATATATATATATATATATATATATATATATGTATGTATTAGTAGAGTTATTGATGTTTATTTTTTAATTTGTATATTGGTAATTCCATACATTTTACGCGGGTCACATTAAAATTAACATCTGAAGATCCTATTTTTATTAAGTCAAGACAACCTTTCTGATGTAAACAAAGCGAATGGCTGTTTGGACATAACAGGATTTGCCTTTAAAATAGATCCTTTTTTAGTTTATTATTGTTATGGTGTATTTTTCTATTCAATGTTATCATTTAGTCGGTTGTACAGAAAAAAATTGTTTTTCTCGATCGTGGTTTGATGAGTAAGCACCTGTTAACTTACAGTTTTTTCCCCTTTTTTCTATTTTTTCTTTTGTATTATTTTACCCCATTTTACCGCCATTTTAATTAGGTCCGCTTCGTTTGCTATAATCAAATGTTGTACTCCCAGCAAGATCTTCAAAGAACGAAAAAAAACAAAAAAACAACAAAAAAACAAAACCAAAACAAATGACAAGAAAAATTGCAGATTATTTACATTATTCGGACTATTGTTCTCATCTTTGTCCCCATATTTATTACAACGTTTCGGCCTTTGTACGTTCCGGCCTTCTTCAGCTGGTTGGAATGTCGAACTGAACCCTTTATTTCGCTCACTGGGGTAGACTGTTCTAGTTCCACGTGCCATGTTTTTAATGGATGTCAGTTATCAGTTATCTCCTGTTAATTCCCCTCTGAAAGTTCTCCACTGCCTTAACCAGGTATTTAACTCACACACTTTGGCTCCTGTCACTGGATCTAACTAACGCCTTTATCTGCTGTACATTGGATAAAGAAGGCCGGAACCTACAAAGGCCGAAACGTTGCAATAAATATGCGGCAAAGATGAGGACAATAGTCCGAATAATGTAAGTAATATACATAATACCTCATCTCAGAAATATAGACAGATACTGAAGAAAAATTGCATAGGGATCATTGAACAATCAAAAAAGAAATTGATATTGACTAGATAAAGTGAACAATTTATATAGGTAGTTTAATGTATCCGTTTCAGCGATAGCTGGACATTTGATTAAAAATCAGCATCAATGTACATTAAGTCCTGCCAGCCATCTCTCTGTATGCATAAGGAGAGGCTGGTGGGCTTAATGTGGTTGATTGATTGATTTTCTTTTTATGTCTTCTTAACCTTTTTGCAGTTTAATTAAAACCAGAAAATATTTTAAAGAATGTTTTCGGTATTATAAAGATTTTTTGGTTCAAGTCGTGCAAATTAACCCATATCTGGGGAGAGAAGAGGTGGATTCACACCTTTCCCAAGGGTATTTGCGCGTAAGTGAATATAACGAATTCGACTGAAATTGGAACTCTATCTATTAGATCACCCGCACCCCCAACCTTACAGTACCTGGTATTCCTGGGTAGTCACCCAATTAGGTAATGACCAGGATTGAAGTTGCTTACCTGATCATACGGGAACCGGTGTTTCAACCTGATATAGCGCTTACGCCCTAACAAAATCAGTGAATGTTAAAATTGTGTTAATGATATATGTTTCTATGATATATATCATTTGAATTTATAAAAAATGATATCGTTTGTTTGTATAATAAAATCTGACACACCCAAAACAAGTTGTTACAAATTGGTGAACCAATTGATACTAAGTGAAAGAATAAAGGTGTCAACACGCCTTAAAATAAATAGATAAAAATAAAAATAGATAAAAAAGTAATAAAAATATTTATTCATAAGAATTTAAAGTCTCATTTTTTTAATCTTTCAATATCCTGCCTCGAAAGTATTTAAAAAAAATCCTTCTCCTTGTATTATACAGAATTTTCAACAATTACTTTGGTTCCTTTTCTTTTAATAATCAACATACGAAATATTAATACTAACATCAGATAAAGCTAAAATAAACTCGAATACCCTTTCTTTTTGCCTTTTTAATTACTGTATATACTGTAGTATACTACGAATTTTTATCGTCTGCTTTTGACGCAAAAAATAGGGCGTCGCACTGTACACAGGGATTTTTTTTGTTTGAAAAGGTTAAAACTCTTGCAAAAAAATTCAGTGTGTAGCTCTATACATGAAATCGGTTTATACAGGACCCGTACAAGGGTCTTGTGTTCCAAAATCTATGATAAGGACTAGACCCCCACACCGCAAACTATGATACAGGCCAAACCCCACTCTACTATATCTCAATTTTCATAAGGTCTTGTTTTATGTGCCGTGCCCTTTCAGGACGTAGGCGATCATGGCTCTCCACTCCCCCCTATCCCTTGTAGCTCTCAATAAGTTTTGTCCCTCTGCTTCCTCCCCCAGGCCATGTTCTGTCATCCACTTGCTTAAGCCCGACAGATATATGCGTTGCTTTCCCTTGTCTCTCTTTCCCTCTATTCGACCCGTGAGTATCAGATTCTCCAGGCCCTCCTTCCTCATTATGTGTCCCAGGAATTTCAGCTGCCTCTTCCTGATGTTAAGTATAAGCTTCCTCCTTGTCTGCATCATCTCCAAAACCTCATCGTTGCTCACACGCTCGGTCCATGATATCCTCAACATCCT